CTGGGTCACTGTCACCACCACCAGATGGACTTTGGACTTCCCAGCCTCAAAAACTGTAAGCCGTAAATTTCATTTTCTTTATAAATCACCCAGTTCAGGGTACTTTGTTATGAGCAACATAAACGGACTAATACAATCACCATATCTGTGACGTGGCACAGGTTCCTAAAACTCTCTATGCCTAAGTTTCCACACCTATGAAACTATAGTATTAATAATACTCGTAAAGTTGGGGTGGGAAGTAAATGACGTATTGGATGTAAAGCTCCTAGAACAGCAAGACAGGCGGCTTACCTCCCTTCTTTCTTCCACAGAAGGAAAACCTGGGGAAATCCTCCTCACAGACGGGATAGGAGAGGTTCAAAATAGAGGATCCCTGGGTGAGAAGAGATACGTCGAGAAACAGCTTGTTGATGTCCTCTCCTAAGGGAAAGAGGAAAACCGCATACTACTGTTGTGTGTTTCAGCGTATATCAAAGGCATTCAGGGTTTATAATAGCATGAGCTAAAGGACCTTTGATTGCCATTAGTCCACTCAGGATGGGAAATGTTTTTTTTCTTTTTTCTTTATTTGTTAAAACAGCACTTAGGCAATGCTACAGGGGGTTAGGAGGATGACCCTTTCTCAAACTACCTGTTTGGGGCAAGGTAATGAATATGTTGTGCTCCCCTACCCCGATGCTCTGTCCCATTAATGTGATGTCTACAGGCCCAGCTTCTAGAACTTCTCAGCTACCCGGTATGATTCACCCCCCATGATAGTGGAGGGGTGTGGCTGAGCCTACACGCCCCTGCTTCTGTTTCCAGATCCTGCACCGTCGTTACACGGGAAGCCTCAGGATGCTCTGCGGTGGTGGCTTCCAGTTCTCTCCACTTTTTCCTCTATCATGTTCCACCCGCTCCTCCTTTCATGTCTCCTTTCTCTCTTTCTTTCTCTCCCAAGTATTTATTGAGCTGCTGCTAGACAGACAGTGTGTAAGGTTGTGGAAATACAAAGATGCATGAGAGTTCTTGGTCTCTGGAATGTTCCCTTTATTTCTCTGGAATGATTCCACATGCTAAGTTTATTAAATCTCTCTGGTCTGGTTTTGATAAAACTGTTTTAGAAAAGGAGATACTCTAGTAGCTATAGAAAATCTACTTAGTAACCGTAATAGCATGAATATATAAAAATTAAACAATCAGAAATTGTTCTAGCTTGTTGATTGGGGTGGGGGAGATATTACATCTCCTCCTTGCCTGTGTCAAGGTTTAAGAGCTTATGTAGCTATTCAGGAGATGAAATAATGCAAATGACAAACCATGCTGCTGGTAGTAGATTTGTTTGTTGCTCAGATAACAAAGAAAAAGCTCTCTCCTGAGTAGACATCAATATGAGTCTCAAAATATTTTCCTTTTTTTGCTGGGTTTACTGATTCCAGGTGTTTAGATCATCCAAATGAGTGCCTCGAGTCTTCAGTACAGAAGCAGGGCACTAAATGAGCATTCTACCCTTCTTGCACATTACCCAGAGCGGGACTTGAAAATAAATGGAAACAGAGTTAGTTCCAGAGAGTGGGGGGAGAGCAGTAATTTAGCCAGCCAGCCATTAGAGTCAATATAAGTCATTAGTGTGTGGAGTAGGAAGAGGCTGTGCAATGTTTTATCTCATGCTAATATTACTTACTCAGAATGATTCCAAATCTAATGCTGAGATTTGGTTTTAATTGTTTGTAACACTGTTCAACAGAAAAGCCAAAATCCTGTAGTGGATCTGCCAAGAGAAAACAATGGATCGCTTGTGAGTACATTGTATACTCTGCAAACACATATTCAACATTTGCACCAATTATATTGTTTTTATATGGATCATTAAATTTATTTAAAAACATACTGACCTACACTTTTTTTCGTATAAGCCCATAGCATTTTCACCATCTCCTTAAAGTCTCTCCAATGTCAGTGTCATGTTCACACTGATAACAAGGTCTTGATCCGTGAAAAGAGCACGGAGTCTTGAAGGTAGGGTTATATCTTTAGTTACCATTTTTATCACTTAGATTTTATCATTTGAAATTTTTATCATTGTTTGAATTCTTTTAGTTCCTGAACTTTTGGTCTTAAAATTGCTCATTGATTGCAAAGAACATTTCATAAAATATTTATTATTATATTAAAACAGCGGGAGACACATGCAGATTTTCAAAGTGCAGACCTGCCTTTGTAATTCCATTTCATCCCATCTCATCTTGTCTCATTCAGTGTAATATTTTTTCCCCGAATATTTCACTATATGCAAGGTATTATGTTAGATATGATAGGGGCAATAAAGATACTATTTTTTTT